TGAGTGGCATTTCTGTTGCAATTAGAAAAATCGAGGTAGCAACATACAAAAATTTATTTTTACTCCAAATTCCGTCACACCTTTCATATTTCATTGAAAATCCGCGAAACATTCTGAATTTCATTGGAATCGGACATACATATCGTGTTTGATGCATAACATACATTAAATCGGCCGAAATATACATATGGGAGCTATACCCAAAACTCAACCGATTTCAATATAATTTGGAAAAATTTATTTTTGTACCAAATCTAATCACACACATGCCGAATTTCATTGGAATGGAACATACGTATCGTATTTGGTGCATCAAATATGTGAAATCGGCCGAAAATATATATGGGAGCTATATCCAAGTCCGAACCGATTTCAATATAACTTGGCAAATTATTTGTTGTTCCAAATGTGGAGACTGTATCTGTAATCGATCAATAGATATATGCATATAAAATCTACATTTTTCGGAGGTACCTCCGAGTCTGATTCTTATCTCCAGTTCCAAGTGGAATTTCAATAATATAGCCTACGTTACTTTCAGGCAATGTTGTAGTATACTTGGAAATTTTCAGGAAAGTCTGTTCGCCGGTTTCCGAGTCCCTAAATTACAAACAAACATACAAACATTTTCCTCTTTCATAGATATAGATAGACATTTTTTAGTAGGCTTTACTCTTCACTAGAAGACCTTTTATGGGTATTTCATAGAAGATTTCGTATACCTTGTAATTTTTTTTATCAAGGACTATGTGAGTATCTGATCTATTTGAGGACTTCGTTGACTACGAGGACCTCTTAAGAATCTGTTTTTCCCTTGTTCAAGATCATCATCCACGCCTCCTCTTCCATAGTAGACCTCGGCCTCAATTCTTGTTCTATGAAAATGGGAAATGAAAGCTTTTATAAAGGAAAGAAATGTCAAATGAAAAATTTTATAAAGGAAATATTTTTCATTTCATATTTTCATAGAACAAGAATTGAGGCCCTGATTAATGTATTTTCCTCCATATAACACCTCGGGGTCTTCTATAGAATACTCCTTTGGAGAACTCTCTTCTTTTATGTTTTATAAAAAATAATTATTTAGAAATCTATAGAGTCTTTCCAAGAAATTTACTACGTTTTTTTATATTTCTCTAAGGATCTTCCAAAAGTCCTTTAGAGGTTTATTATCTACTTCATAAGAGGTTTGTTCTCTAACGTTCAGCGCCACTCACATATGTAGGATGCGACCTCCTTGCTGTCTTTGTTGGGAAGCTCGTACACACCGTTTCTTGCCCTCACCACTTTAAAGAAGTCAACATTCAGATTATGGAATGCCATACCTCACTACTTACCGTTATCCTTGTCCACTATGTATTCGATGATGCAACAATGAGTGGAAAATCATCAATTGCATATTGGCTTCCTCTACTCCCAATTGGCGGCAAGCCGTCAGCGGTATTTTGGCGCATTTTACAATTTGACAAGGTTCATCTTTTTAATGTTTCTTGGGTATATTTCCCCGAGATTATGACTCATTTCCAGTTTCCACACTCTTCCTCTTCTGTGCAGGCTTTACATAAAAGTCCTCTTCCGGCTGAACTATTTCAGGCCCGAGTCCTAAGAATTCTTTGGACAGTCTTTTGAGTTTGAATCGAGTTAGTTTGATCTTTGAACGCTTTCGCTCTATTCACCAACCATTTTAGGATTCTCTTAGCGGGTTTTCCGAGTTCTGTCCGAATTCAGATACAAACAGGTACAAAAGTTGTATGGCCATATTCGCCGGCTCACTCATAGAAGGAAGGTCGTCCCTCGCTTTGAATATGGATTGTCATACCTCCATACCTAAGTAGCAACCATTATCCTGGTCCCCAACGTATTCGAAATACACCCCCAACAAAATGGAAATACACCCATTGCATATTGATTTTCTCAAACCCTAGTTGGCGTTTAGGTCATCGTGATCGGTATTTTGGTGCATTTTACAATACCACTGGTTCCAACTACTGCATGACAAAGTCCATTATTTCTCATTTGCAGTTTCCACACATGCTTCCATATGCTTTACATAAAAGTCCTGTTCCGGCTGACCTATTTCAGGCTCGAGCCTTAAAGATTCTTGGGACAGTCCCTTGAGTGTGCATCGATTTAGTTTGGTCTTTAAAAGCTTCATTCGTCAACCATCTTGGGATTCTCTTGGCGTTTTTTCCCGAGTTCTGTCCGAATCTCTACAAATTTCCAATTCTGATGCCGAATTAAGATGCAAACAGGTACAACAGTTGTATGGCAGTGGTCGCCGATATTAGAAAGTTTTGACGAGACCTTTCAATTTGATTCTTACTCCAAGAAAAATCCTGGCCTAGATTACATCAAAGTAGTTTAATCATACACCCAAGGGGAACCTATTAGTCCTCACTCCCGCTCAAATGTGTAAAAGTCTTTTATTCCCTGCATATGACATGTTAATTAAAACTGTTTGAAGGTCTTTTATTTTTAGCTTTAATATCTTTTGATTCAACATTTGTCCTTCCCGCCGTCTATCTCCTTTAACATTAAATCCTCTTTTAATTCCTTTGGTGAAATCCTTTCGATATAAATTCTCCGTAAGGTGGAATATATTACCCTTATAATAGTCAATGGTATTTGATGACAATTCACTCTTCCCTCCAGCATGATGTATGCGGATATAAGAAGAGGCGTCCTTTCAACGACGCCTCTAGGACTCAACCTCTCCTACCTCCTCACATTTGCTCCTTTGTTGTTTGTCGTTGTTGCATGACAACTTAAGCGTAAATAAAACTTAATTAAGACAATTGTTGTCGCTGGTAATTTGATAGTTTTGTATGTTTGTTTGTGTATTTCTTCTTCGCCTTTTTCCCTTCTCCTGGGATCCTTTTTGGCTGGCGTGTCTTTGTTTATTAGGTGTAGCCTTTTTACAAGTGTCTCCCTTGCCAGCAAGGACAGACAGACAGACAGACGTCTGTCTGTCTGCTTATCGTTGGCTGTTATTTAACACCTGAGTTATTTTAAGCCTTTAAGTTTATTAGCTATTGTCGTTTATTTTTTGTCATTATTATTACAGTTTATTGTTTAAACACGCTCATAATAGTTGTCTAAACAAATGCCCAAACATTTTGTTGATGTGAAATGTATACTCATTGTTTTCTTTTGTTTTTATTGAGTCCTTTCGTGCCGACAAGTCGTCGAATGTTTGTGTTGGTGTGCGGGGGAAATTAACACTCGATTTGATAATTGTTTACAAAAGTTATTGAAAGGTAATGTAAATAAATGAGCCTCAAGATGAGCCACAGAGGCACCGCATACATCAGCAATATGAAGTGTTTGAATATTGTATGTGATTTTCTTGAAGTACAGGGTGAGATAAGAAAATTGCAACAAAATCAAACGCCATAATTTTTAATTTTTTGTTTTTTAAATTTTATTGAATGAAATTGGAATTGGAATTGGTCACATTTGGCACGAATTATGACCTTCTAATGGCCAATGAAACCGTCACACACTGCCCGAATCTGCGGTATTTTCGTCCGTTCCCGGCGAAGCGCTTGCTTGAGGTGATCGACTCTTTGGTATTTTTAAGTGTCAACCTTGCTTTCCAAATTACTCCAGACACAATAGTCCAACGGATTGGTATCCGGCGATTTTGGTGGCCATTGTGCACTGGAAATGAAGCGACGAACCTCATTTTGTAACCTTGGGTGGCGCTTGCTGTGTCCTGTTGGAATGTCCAAGATCTGTGGCCAAAATATTTGCCTCATTCCCAAGGCTTTAATACACCCTCCAGAATATTTTCGCGATAATATTCGGCATTTATTCTGATGCCACGGTCGATTAATACGAGCGGAGAGCGACCATCGGCTGTTATGGCGGCCCACACCATCACCATGGCCGTTGCTTGAGTTCTGGTGGCCAACCGAAGGTGCACATTTTCAGCTGACCTCTTTGGCAAGTAAACACGATCATTTTGTTTGTTTACAAACTGCTGGACAACGAATGTTTTCTCATCGGAGAAAACCAAATTCGGCAGTTCAACACTTTCGGCTAAGCGAAGCAACTCCTTAGCTCTTTTGAGTCTATTTTCTTTCTATTGCGGTGTAAGTTCTTGGACTTTTTGGAATTTCAATGGCTTTATCCTGAGCTCATTTTTCAAAATTTCCCGAATGGAATATTGCTATATGTTCAGCTCACTAGCCATTTTTCGGCCACTGCGACGCGGGTTTCGATCAAGTCGCTTCTTTACTTTACCAGTATCACGGTAAAGAGCGATGGTACAAGACACAACAGATTTATTCACATTTAAATGTTGAAGTGCTCTAACGATAGCCACTTGTGGTTTTCCAGCCAAATATAAAGAAATCACACTATCACGCTTGAATTCCATGACGAATAACTTTTTTCTGGAACATTTCACCAAAATGCTTTTGAACGCTTGTAAACAATATAATGAGCTATCACTGGAATAATTTTAACAGCTGTCGGACGAGTGGCGTAGAAATGACAGCAGTGTGAAGTTGGTTGCAGTTTTTTCATTTCAACCTGTATATAAGACCGATTATATTATCAATATAGGTCCACCTTTTGGTACAGACCTTATATCTCAGATTTATCATTGAGGGTTCATACCACCATACCAATCTAGCCCGCGCTATCAATCTAACACTCCTAGTCCATGTTTTCTAAATATTAAATTTTTTAAATAAATGTCTTTAAACTTCAAAATATCTAATTCATAGTATTCAAGGCTTCAAAAACAAAATTAGGTTACCTTCAAGTCGCCTCAAAAACCATGAATGAATGATGGAATCTTCTCTTAAATTTGCCGACAATAGTACAACGATGCGAAAATGACATCAGACAATGGACACAGAAAAAACACAAAGAACTCATATTTTTTGCAGGCGCTACAAACAACAAAATTCATGTAGAACTCCCCCGTGGTCACTACTCAATGCAATGAACTAACAAATGTTTTTTTTTCTCTACCTTTGTTCCATTTGCAGGTCTTTACACCAGTGCGCATCTATTTGCTTATTGCAAAAGTTCCCACAAAGGTAATTATGTTCTTCAAACGTTGTAGATTTTTTTTTTCATTTGACTTTTCTACACAGACGTTATAAAGTCAAAGCGAAGAGGAGAAGAGAATGAAATAAATATGCATAAATTTGTATTAAATATTTTATTACTAATGCACACACAACAACACTAATTTTCTAAATTTTTTTTTCAAACATTTTATGTGACGTCTGCTTTGTGTCTAATCTTGCATTCTCCAAATTGACCCAAAAATCCCCGAATGCATCAATTAGATTGAGTGCCATTTCCATTATTTGGACATCCAAGCGGTAGAAAGCAAAAAGCCAACACATTTTTCTATCATCACCAATGATCGTCCGTATAATTTCGCCACGACCGGTGATGCGGGCAATTTCAGTACGGTAAGTTAAATGAGATTCCGTAAAAATTGTAATTTTATTGTTAATTGTTTGTTCTTCATTTTCTTTCAAAATATAGAGTGCGGACATAATCTTAACCGATTTGGCATCGGCCATAAAACATATTTTTCCAACAGTTCCTTTGGATTATATTATAAGGAAGGTAAGTACAAATAGAAACAATTAAAAAAGTGATATACCATTAAAAAGGAGCTGTTCATCCTAAATTATGTAGGATGTTTGAATAGACGGTAGCCTAAATAAGACGTAAATATTCAAAACATTATATGCAAATAATTTTGTAAAGTTAGGCTTCTTTTGCGAATTTTCGTAACTATTCCTAGATGGTACGAATGAAAACCAACCAAGCAGGAGAATACTCCCACATTTGTGATATGAAATATATGAAAGAAAAATGAGTCAAATAATGCCATATAATTTCGGGGATAGCTCGGGATATCTGATTTTATACTGACTCATCGGCGTTAAAATTTACGATGACTTTTGTGATGTTCTTCTTTTAAAAAAATAATTTTAAGAATTTACAACAAAACCAAACCTACCAACTCGGTCCAGAGGATCTCTGGCTACAGCCCATAATGGTAGCAGAATTCCCAAACCTGGACATTGAGGAAGAACCGGATTAGTCAGAAAACAAACAACGGAGCATGTTAAAACTGCTACAACAACAGATATATGCCTTCAGCATGTTACCACTTTTTTATGTACCATATGTCCCAACTTTTCTTTAGATCTGATTTTAGTAAAAGTATTGCAGGGTGCAAAGTTTGAAAATAACTGGGGAATAATTTCACATATTCATAAAAGAAATGAAGTACCCCAACAACATTACATCCACACATATCAGCCAAAAATTAAGCCAGAACAAACCGTATCGTAAAAGTCCGTGAGTTATAAAAGGCGTTTGATACAGTCAACCATGCCACACTGTTTGGGGACTTTAGAGAGAACTACACTCCGGTCAGGCCGACAGGGTGTCATCTCATGACAACAATGGATCATAGGTGCTAGCCGGCAACACTTGGGTTGCGATCAGGGAGACCCTGTTGATCTCATATAACGCGATATTTCGTGCTACACAGTGGAAGTGTATCCAGACACCTACCTACCTGGAGTTACAGCCGGATTAGCAGAACCGAATACAACAACGAAATTAGTAGTTATTTTCTGGCAACTAAATGGTCACCCCATGATCCGTTCATTTGGCTTGGGGATGCGCTTACCCATTTAGAAAGTAGAGATATGGTGCAACAGTGCCGAGTAAATAGGTCAAGCTATATTCCAAAATCTAGTGCAGTTTTTTCATTCCGTTTGAGGGTTTATCTTTAAAGATAAAGTTTGCTCCAAATTTAATTGTCATTTTTATATAAAATGCATCAATTTGTCTTCCTGGTAAGAATTTATAATGCTAACACAAATACCTCGCGGTGTCGTCTAGATGAAAAAGATGCGAACTTCTTACAGAGTGTATCCTGGATGATGAAAATTTTCAAACGAAAGTTTAAAACTATAAAAACTTGTCCATTGGACCCAGTCCATTAGACTTTTTAAAGATATCGTTGATGTTAAAAGATCTTTCCCTGTAAAAGACCGGTAGCTGGTCTTTTATAATTGGGGGAAATTGTACAATACTAATGATTACTATTGTATTGAGTTTTCCATTCCCGATGTACAGCCGTAACAAGCAGTGCTTCTGTGAAATAAGAAAGTTCTTCCGCTTAAATTGCACATGAACTCACCCTATCGCCTACCTTACCTTTGCTCCCACAACTATTTCACTATTCATGGGGTTCGAGGTGGGAAAGATAAAACAATGAAACTAGCATCGGGGGTATAACAAATAAAAACCACTACATCTCTGAAAGGATAAGTTCATTCCTTGGTAAAACATTAAGAACACAAGCAAAAAGTGGTGGTACCACCTCCTCCAATTCTTAAACAACTTCAATATATTTAAAGTGGAAACTTTGTTTTATTTAACTACAACAACAAGAAAGTCAACCATTTATCCCATGTGTGTGATTGTGTTTCTGTTACATCTATGTAGAATAAATGAAGGTGCATAAATTTTCCATGTATACATGTGTGTGCGTGTGTGTATGATTACACTTTATGCATTTTTTATGAAACATCTTTTCTCTCAAACAGAGCCCACAAAGTTCTCTGCCAACAATCACAACTCCCACGAGTTTGCAATGACATGGTAACTTTATTTTATTAAAATATTTAATTTTGTAAAAAGGCAAGCTTTGTAAAAAGGCAAGCTCAGAAAGCAAAGTAGTAATTTTGCGAAAGTTTTAGAAATGAAAGGAAAATAATGAAGGAGTCCTTCAAAAATATCCTTAAATAAACTGTGCAACAAAAAAATAATTTCGGGAAAAATCCTAAACATAGGAGATACATGTAAAGGCGTTTTCAAAGTTTACATCGCAAAGTAATAAAAATAGAGGGAGTCCTCCCTTTTTCACACTTTTGGCTATTTTTGGATCAAGATTCCTGGAAATCCGTTCATTTTAGGTATGCAGTGTCTTTGTCATAAACTTAGTCGTAGCTTACTGCACAGAAAGAAAAAAGGATAATCCGATTTTGCTTCAACTTTGCGAATCTTAATACTTGCATCTGTTCTAGGTCAGGTGCGAAAATGGAAAATATCGTTGCACTCCTTCTGAACCTCCCCCACAAAGGGCCAACATTTTGAATATCCGTAAAGCTCATAAAACGCGGAATTAACATCCAATTCCATTCAGACTTGGTACATCTCAATATTTCTATCAGCACAAGATATGTTATAAAGATGGTAGAGATCGAACCATTCCTTCTGGTACCTCCCACACAAAGGGTCAACGTTTTGAATAACCATAATTATCATAATATCCGCAATAAGCATCCGGTTCTCTTCATATTTCACACATCCCATTATTTCTACTAACACGAGATCTGGTGTGAAGATAGAATATATCGATCCACTTCATATTCATTTAGGGCCGATACGAACCTACTCCATAGAAGTTCCACAATTGTTTTTATAAAAAACAACAATAATGGGATTAAGCCTGAACAAACAAGCCTGTCTCGGTTATGGAAAATTGTAAGTGCATATCATAGTATTCGGTTTGTATATCAAAACCTCAAAATAGTTTCGGGTTCCTGGGCCAAGCTTTTTAAGGCCTCTATGTAGCCTTGGATATATACAAAAGGGAACCTAATAATTTTAAATATATTTCGCAACATTTAATATCGAGCTTTGAAAATATAGAAGAAGCACTAGGGTTCGAGAAAGATGGGTTTAAAAATGGATCATGTTTGTCTTTTTTTTTTTGGTATGTATAAGGGTTAATGACAATTTCAATGTTTTTAAGTTTTAGTCACATTTTCCATTCAATTTCGCAAATTTTTGGAATTGTGGAAGAAAATACCGATGGATGGTACCGTTATATGGGGCTATTCCTAAATCGAAATCTTTCGCAAGGAGAGAACAGACCTTTCAAGAACCCCAAGTGTCAACATTCAGCTGATTTGGCTAAAAATTGTGGCAGAATTCTTCAAAATACCGAAAATCAGAAGGTATCGCTGGGGGCTATACCAAAACGTGGACCAATATAGCCCATTCTCTATACCAAGCAGCCGTATGTATTATAAACCTTTGATAAAATAATGTGGACTCTACTGTTATTTCAACAGACAGACGGATATAGGTATCTCCTTATAATTTTATACTGAACCGGAATATACAAACTTTTTGGGGTCTCCGAAAAATATTTCGAGATTTTGCAAATGGAAAGACAAATTTAATTCACCCTCCATTGTATGGTGGATGGTATAATTATCAATGTAAGCCCAAGTTGTGGTACATTCCTTAAATAAAAGTACCCCCTGATTTTAGTTATTGCGAGGCACTTAACCATATTTTCCAATCGGTTTGGCTTTAACGTGACAGAAAATGTATCTACTCTCACCTCTTCGAGTAATTGTATGCAATGTTTTCATTGCTTGTGGGTCACATTAGCGTTTTGAAGTCCAAATATATAGTCTCCAACTCTTACCATTCATTAGTCACAAAATTACTAGTCACCTCTCGATAGCATTGTCCTATCCATTCTCTCTAACTTTTAAACCAACCTCGTAAGGTCCAATGACCCCGCTGGAACACAAACCGCTGCAAACAGTCACACGTAGAGTATGAGGAGGCTTGTCAATAATAATTCTTGGGTTTCCCGAGCTCAGATACAACTTTATTTGCTCCTTGACATAGCCACCGAGTTAGAAATGGGTCTCAACAGTCAAGATGATTTTTCGATGGAATTCTGCATTACTTTTATGCATTTTAAGGTAGACTCGGATTCTTGTGGTGTGTAAACTTAAAAATACTTTATGCAAAATACGGTATAATGCCCTTAAAGCAACATCCTTGAAAATACACTGGAGGATAAATACTTGTTAAAAACGAAAAAGTCCTTCAAGGACTTTTCTCAAAATCATAACTCCCATATACACAACATATTCCTCATACGAATATTCCCTGAATGAATGCAAATATATTTTTCCATCATTTATGGAAATCTAAACGACCACATCTTAGCCCTGTACTTGCCTTTTCGTTGCGCACCACTTGCCATCATTTGACTTCATTTCATTGCAGACTATTTGATAAATGAACTCGGCTTAAAGTTGAATCTGTCCCTGCGGTGGTAATCGATTAACCTCTGACGTCAGAGGTTTCCTCTTTTATCTATTCTAAATTAATTTTGCTTTGATGTACTCGTATTCTATGTGTCTAGCATGAGTGTGGTGTACATGTGTATGTATGTGTGCAGAAATCCATAGGCAAATAATTTATTGATACATAACAAATGGAGGCAGCATAAAACATATTCAAATAACAGTGGAGTGGAGTTAAATAGCAATGGGTCATAAAAGACTCCACAATAATGAGGGTGATATGTTGTTGTTGTGCCTGGTGGTTTAATTTTATATATTTATATTTTGAGAAATTTAGGTGCTTATATTTTTTTCAAAATCTTAAACTCTATGTGGTGGAGGTACCAGAAGAAATAGTCCGATCTCCACCATCCTTATAACAGATCTTGTGTTGATGGAAATACTGAGTTGTACAAAGTCTGGAATGGAATCGGATGTTAATTT